ACTGCCTGGTGGGGGGTATGGGGGAGGTCACCCTTTTGCTGCTAAACTGGGGAAGCTAGCAGCACAAGACAGTGAGCAGGAGGCTGGGCTAGCCCTCCCTCAGCCTGCCTGGTGCAATACCAGTCATAAAACTCAGCCCGCTGTCCCAAGGACAGGCTCATGCCTTCTCTGATTACTTATCTGCTCCCCAGGTGGGCTACCTGCAGGGTTGGCCAGAGGGAAGAGGTGCCCAGGCTCTTTGACAGCCATAGTTCTGCAGAAACCTTGATAATGAGCATCTTGGTTCACACATCAACCCATTTACCACCCCCCCGCCAAAACAGGGTTACTCTTCCTGGCCTGACTTCCCAGGCTTCTGAACCTGCAATTTTAATAAAATCATTATTCTTGTTGCAGATATTAGCAGCTCACTCTGTCTGCACCAGGCACAATGGGAAATGGAACCCTACGTGCAAGAATATGGAGTGACACAAGGAATTTTAGCATATTCCCAGTTCCAAGAAGTCTTGCGCAAAAGAAATCTGTTTAGTGTTATTTAAACCAGCGTCACCCAAATTCACTTGACAATGGGACAATTTTTACAGAACACCTATTAGCATGTTGCAGTGTTCCCTGCAGCCTGGTCCTGAAGGAAAGGAAAGAAAAGACCACGCGTTCATTCCACCTGTAAGAGGGCTCTGCACTGTGCCAGGCCCTGGCCATGCACTTTCTCAGGTAATCCTGATGAAGACCTCTGCCAGACATGAGCACCAGGCTCTGACAAGTCAGGTGCTCTTCCCAGGGACTCAAGCCCAGTGTGAGAATCCCCTATGGCTATAAAGTCCCTCGTTGCCTCTAGACTACAAAGCTGCATTTGGATTTTCCCTTGCTTTTGCTGCAGCTCAGAGGCCGTGATTCCTGGAGGGAGAACAGGAGAAGGCTCTGCCTGCCACCCCACAGCACTGCGGACGGTTTGGATTTGCTAATCTGGCCCCATGGCTGTTCACTTCCAGATTAGACATAAATTCCTTCAACTGGGCCTCAGTTTCCTCATCTGTAAGTGGGGCTAGGGGTGGAGGGCAGAAAAGGCATGGTTAGAAAGATGTAACCTAATGCTCTCTAGGTCCCCTCCTTAACGTGTACATCCTGGATTTATGAACCCTACATACTCAGCCTGCAATTTAGAGACACTGCCACCAGGGGGCAAGCTGGACCAAGATAATAGCCAAGTGAGGTAGGTGGGCTGGCTCTCCCGAAGAGCATCAGAGGTTGCTTTTTTTAGGTTCCCTCTCAGGTTGTACTTGGGTAGAACAGAAATTAAGAAGATGGTTCTGAGTCACTCTGAGCAAATGGGGTGGCATGGATTAAAGGATGGATAACTTTTCCACCATGTGAATTAATGCTACATAAGACCTGGTCCCTGTACCTCCTTGAAACCTTAAGAATCACTGTGAATTTCACCATCTGGGGACTTCAGGAGCACGAAGAACAAGGAACAGTGTTGGAAACAGCACCAATGGGATAAAGGACTTAGTTTAAAAAGAATCTATGCATGTTTTATTTTGCCTGTATTATGGCTTCTCTCTCTCTCTTGAATATTCAATATTTAACCTAAAAGAGTTCTTCTTAATGTCCTGGGGTCAAATCTTAAGCTGAGGTAAAGTCATGACACCTGTTACATTTGCTCACTTACGTCAAAATTGGAAATCGCTGGCTTGATGTTAAATCAGCTCCCCTTTTGGCAACTCTCTGGCAATTGCAGAAAGCAAAGCATCTGAAAAGAGCTAAATAAATACAATGTGAAGCTGAATGTCTGCCTCCTTCCAACCTACCTCTGCTACTCATCACTGCTTCCATGAGCAATGAGGGGCTCTGTGTGTGCCTTTTGAAGGTTGCACAAATGGTGCCGTTTCATACAGTAAGGCTTGTTCTGCAGATTGTCCTTTCCAGAACCCACTGCGACGTATCGTGAGATCTTTCTATGCTGCCATCTGGCGACCTGGGTCATTGCTTTCCCCTGCTGTAGATTACTCGTTTGTCCATTTTCCTGCTGGCAGACATGTACGTGCACACAGCACGGCGGTGAGTGTCTTTGTGTGGGGCTCCTCATGATCATGTGAGAGTTTCTCCAGGCTACAGAGAGTGGAGTTTCTAGGTTATAAGACTTCAATTTTGCTTAATTCTTCCTTGCTGTTGTGCATTCACAATTCATGGGTTGTATGAGAGGTCCCACTTTCCACCTCACCTACACTTGCTTTTGAATGTTTGCCAACCCAAGGACTTTGTTTTAGTTTGTGTCTCTCTGATCATTGAGGATGCTGAGCATCTTCTCAACTCTTCTGTTTGGCTTCTTCAGTCCTTATGAACCCTCTGTTCTGGCTAGGTTATAAGCTTCTGGAGGAAGGGGCTGGGTCTCACATGTAAGGCTCTCCCGGGGCACAGCCCCATCCAGGCGCAGATTTTTCCATCTGTCTTTCCCACCTGATCTCTGTGCCCCAACTTGGGAGCCCTACCCTCCAAGCTTAATAAGACCCCTGGTCTGTATGGGTGGCCAAGGACACCATACTGGCTTTTTAATCACATTGTGTCTTCTGTCTCGAATGCTGTGTCTCTTCCAATCCACCTGAGTCACCTATTCATGTGCCAAGACTCGAGCTACCTCCTCTGTGAACGCCTCTGTGACCACCAGCCCCAGCCCATCCCAAGTTCTCCTTTGTACTTCCTCTGCCTTGGATAAACTTCTCGTTGCATCTGCAAAACTTCTGAGCATCCATGCACTAATATATCTGTCTCTCCATCAGACTTTGGGCTCCTTAAGGACAGGCACCATGTCTTATTCACCTCTCAACTCACCGTTCATTGGACAGTGCTGGTCAGAGGGTAGATGCACATTACATGTTGGTCAGATGGACGGATGAGCCCCAAGGCCAGCCTTTTCCACATCAGTCCTCTGCAGACCAGAACATCCTTGAGGACAAGGACCGTATTGGATTCACATCACTGTCCCTCAGGGTGCCTAACAGGGCTGAGTGTTTGCGGCGCTCAGTATGTATTTGCTGACATGACAGTACGATTGTCTGGTAGAGTAGAAAATGGCTTTGGTCAGAAATTTCTGGACTTCCGATCCCAGCTTCCTAGTGGCATGAGTTTGGGCAATTTACTTGGTTTCTCCAAGCCTTGGATTTCCCACCTTCATAAAGCTTCTAGCTCTGAGGACTGGTGTCAGGAGGAAAGAAGGTTGTGTGTGTAAAGCATTGGACATACAATCATATGCACCAGGCATGTTATAATTTCTAGGTCAGAATAGCATGAAGTCTGCTATTTTTACAACACCCAGGATGGTGTGTTTCTTCAGCTGTAAGTTGTGATGAGCAGATAGTAGCTACTTAATAAAAATGAAGTCTGGTTTTCCAGCACGAGAACAGTGCCTTGTAGAAATTACATACTCAGTAAAGAAGTTGAGCTGAACTCAGCACCTTGCACATAATTAGGTACCCAGTCAATATTAAATCAAACCAAGCTCACTTCCCTGTGCTGCATCCTGCTCCAATCCTATCTTAAAGAAGTCTTTCCCTTTTGTGGTTCCCCTTCTCCTGACAGCCATCTGCTTTCAATTTTTCCAAAGCATGGTGATCACTGTGGTAGACTGTTATTGAACCTGAACTTGTCCTGCCTGTGCTAGTACTCTTGTGCAGTCTCTTAGTACGAGTCTGGGCTGGACCATATGTCCCTTTGACCACAGGGACATTAACAAGCCAGTGCAAGGTGTGATAAGCTCTTACACATTAGAGTCTTGTCCCTTTGGAAAGCTGCTTCTTGGAATGCTGTCACCGTGTCAAGAAGAAGCCCCAGCTAGTCACAAAGGAAGGCCCCATGGGGAGAGAGTGATGCCCAGGCAGCCACCAGCTATGGCACTCATCCCCACCGGGTACCGGGCATGTGAGAACGGCTGTCATCCTCACAACTACATGGAGCAGAAATGAGTCACACTGAGCCAAATTGCATAATCACAAGCAAATAAATGATCATTGTCATTTTAAGGCTCTTGGTTTGAGGGTGGTTTGGAACACAGGAAATAACAACCCATGAGTGGGACATGTTTTAAGGATGCATGTCAGTGACACTGCTGCTGGCTTGGAGACCCACCAGGTAAAGCCCTTTGGGATCAGCAGGTAGACATGACGGTCTAAATTGGAACCCCATCCCTGGAGGACTCTTCCCTGGGAACCCAACCCCCAGGTCCCTCCCCTGTTGTTACCAGGGACCCTGACTGGCTAATGATGACTTTGTCTTAAATGATGAAAAGTTGCCCAGGTTTGCCTTATAAGAAGTCCAGAAGTGGTGGCTTCTGGCCAGGTGGATGGAGCAGCTCAGTGAGGTCAAGGAAAATCCAGATTGTGCCCCAGCGTCTGCGATTCCTCCGGTCCCAGATTTTCCACCAGGAGCGGTCTGCACTGCATCATTCCTCACTCAACACAACAGGAGAGAGGGATGCTTCCCAGCTCTCCCAGCGGACAAAAGAATTTCCCAAAAGGCTCCACACACCCGCACCTCTCCTTGCATCTCATTGGCCCATATTGAGTCATACGCCCATTTCTGAACCAATCAGTTTGTATGCGCAGGGAGAGAGGCAAGAATTACCCTGCGACCAATCAAACCCACCCCTGCATGGGGGCGGCGGGGGGGGGGGGGATGCCTGATTCCTCTGAAGTCCATGGGCTCCTGGGGGAGGAATGATGTCCGGAAATAATCGGGGTTCAGCTACGGTGGGCATGCAATGTAAGCTCCTGCAGTGGCCACTGTGAGGCGAGGCCTCTCCCATAAGACATGAGGTAGAAGCCAAGCAGCACTCAGCTCCCACATCCTGTCCTAGAATTATGAGGGAAGGGGTGTATGTCTAGGGGGAAGGTCTGGGGAGAGTTTGGGCTCTTGGGGCTTCTCTCCTCCCCCAGTTGGTCTTTCCAGTACCACACATCTGCCCCCACCCCAACGTGAAGGGAAGCAACAAGAAGAGGAGAACATTCAGATGTGTTTCTCTTTATTGTTAGCGCCTTCTCTGAGTGGAGGGCAACTCTTCCCAGTCGTATCTAATACTTTGAGCTCTTGTTTTTGCTCTTTTCTCCAAATCTCTCATCCAGTGCTTTCTGTAAGTTCATATTCATCGCATTTTTCTGGTGCCACCGTCCTGCAGAGAGCAGGGAAGGAGCCAGCCCAGATCACCCAGAGGACTTCTGGAGTGCCTGGGCCCCAGTGGTGATTCATGCCTCTCCCAGGCCCACCCCAGAGCTCTACCTGCTGCTCTGGTCTCCCTCTGCACCTTGGGGCCAACACACCCTGCCCGGGTAGGGGAGCGCCCGCCTCCCACAGCCCAGCACCCCCACGTACCCAGATCGTCCGTCTTCCTGCCATGCCAGTGTTCTATGTCCCTCACTGATTTCTCAATCACCTCTGGGGTGTAGGAGGCCTTCATGAGGCTCTTCGTCTCCTCGGGGGCCCCTGTGGAACCCCATGAAGAAACCCCCAGAAGCCCCAAGTCAACGGAGGTCAGGCACTCAAGAATTCATATCTGGGTGTCAGTTTCCCTATGGATGGTGGACTGTGGGAGGGCAGGGATGTGGAGAGGCGGGCCTGGGTTCAAACACCAACTCTGGCATTTATGAACAGTGTGGCCTCAGACAAGTATTTAACCTCTCAGAGCTTTGGTCTCTTTATCTATTCAAAGGAATAAAATTTTCTTGCAAGATTGGGAAGATTACATTATTGGAAATTGGTTGGACCATCTGGCATGGGACAATTAATATCTGTGTTTTCAGAAAATTTATTTCTAGTGGCACCTGGGTGGCTCAGTCAGTTAAGAGTCTGCCTTCGGCTCGGGTCATGATCTCAGGGTCCTGGAATTGGGCCCTGCATTGGGCTCCCTGCTCAGTGGGGAGCCTGCTTCTCCCTCTCCTCCCTGCTTGTGCTCTCTTGCTATCTCTGTCTCTCTCTCTCTCAAATAAATAAATAAAATCTTTAAAAAATTTATTTCTATATTGCATTGTATGTTAACTAAAATTTAAATTAAAAGAAAATGTATTTCTATGTGGACAGTTAAAATACACACACACAAAAATAAGTTATCAGGATCAAGAGTCAGCAGAAACATCAGAGGACCAAATCCCAAAAGATAGCAAGGATTCAAATGATCAATTACAGAATATAAAATAAGTGTATTTAATGTTTGAAATCATGAAAGACAGAATAAAAGTATCAGTAAAGAATAAGAAATTACCCAGAAAGAACAGATTAGTAAAAGAAGCAAGTGGGATTTCAGAAACAAAACCTATAATTGAAAAATAAATTCAATGGATGATAAGATGTCTGGGATTTGCTTTGAAATAATGCAGGGTGGGCAGATGGATGGGTGGGAGAAAAGATGAAACGAGATTGGCCATGGATTAATTGCTGAAGCTGGGTTACAAGTGCAACATAATAGTCATTAAATTATTCTCTCTTCTTTTAAGTTTGAAAATTGGCATCAGAATGTTTAAAAGAAAATTCAGGGGATAAGGAAAATAGCAGATGAGAGGCAGCTAAGAAAAAAATGGTCAACTGGAAGATACAGCTAAAGAAGCTAGGGGGGCACCTGGGTGGCTCAGTTGGTTAAGCATCCAACTATTGATCTCAGCTCAGGGTCATGAGTTCAAGGCCTGCATTGGGCTACACACTGGGCGTGGAGTCTGCTAAAGAAAAAAAGAAGACATTAACTAGAATGCAGCATACAGGAGGGAAAAAGATGTGGAAAATATGAAAACGCTAAGATGAAGTTCTGATATATGTGTAAGTGGAGTTCTGAAGGTGAGACTGGAGAAACCAGAGAGGTAGCATTTGAAAAGATAATCATAGTAGGAATTTTTCCAGAATTAGTGCAATATATGAATTCTCAGACTCAAGAATCAGTTTCCCAATCAGCATACGTAAAAAGAATTCTTTAGCTAGGTACATCCAAGTAAAACTTGAAATACCAGAACCAAAGAAATCTTAGAAGTGGCCATACATTGATGTATATTTACATCAATACATATGCATATACATAAATTATACATAATATACATGGGTTTTAATTTATGGGGTAAAATAATGACGATGATCTCTAACCATCTTTGAAGATTTACTATGTGCCAAGCACATTCTCAGAGCTTGATAGAGCTTACTCATGGAATCTTCTCAACAACCCTAAGAAGTAGGTATGATTATTATCCCCCTCTTACTGTTGAAGTCACGGAAACACAGAAAGGTTAAGCCACTCCTCTAAAGTCCCACAGCTGGTAAGTTAACGATCGAGGGCCCAAACCAGACCCTGTGGCCCCAGAATCCACAGCTGAAACTACTTTGCTTCTGTAGAATTAAAATTCGGTAAAATAATAACATGTAAGCTGAGATGGGGGCAGAGAGAATAAAATTGAGGCCTGTTAGTGTCCTATATTATTCAGGAAAGCAAATATCTTGTTCAACTTTAGAATGTGTTAGTTACGTGTGTAAAAATGTCAAAGGTAACCACTAAAAAATAAGGAGATTAAAGACACAAATTGGAAAAAAAGAAACTTCACTCAAATGCAAAACAAGGAAGGAGGGAAAAAGGCAGCACCAACAGAAAACACAAAATAAAGTCATAAGAATAATTCCAAATGTATCAGGGATTAGTGTAAATATAAGTAGACTAAGACCCATTGATGAAAAAAACGATCAGACTACAGAACAGATTTTCCAAATATATATTATGTAAAGCATAGGTAAAACAAAAGGACACAGAGAAAGGATAAACATGGAATCACAAGAGTGATTGATTGCTCCTCTATGAGGGACCCTGAAGGATGGGGGTGCAAACTTTCATCTCCGGGGCTGGAGAGCTGGGCGGCCATATTTATCCCATCCCTGCCTGAGCGCTGAAAGCCTTCAGGGAGCAAAACAGCGCCACCTAGTGGAGACTGGAACTGTTTACACTGAGCCGTGAGTACTGGAGTCGCATTTCCACTGAAACAAGCCTGAGAATCAGTACAACAGGCCCCTCCCCCAGAAGACGGGTACAAAAACAACTTGCTGGCACCAAGTCTACTGATCATAGAGGGCTGGAAAGCTTCAGCTCTAGGGGAAAGGGGATTTAGCTTCCTTTTCACTTTTATTCGTTTTTAATTATTATTTTTTCATTTATTTTCTCATTTTTAATTTATTTTTAAACTTTTATTATTATTTTTAAAATTTTTATTGTTATATATTTATTTTATTTTATTTTTTTATTTTATTTTTGGATCTAGATTCTTTTAACAAGCAGACCAAAACACACATAGGACCTAGGGGTTTTTTTGCTTTTTTGTTTTGTTGGGTTTTTTTCTTTCTTTCTTTCTTCTTTTCTTTTCTGGACAAAATGACAAGATGGAGAAATTCACCTCCCAGAAAAAGAACAGGAAGTAGTACTCATGGCCAGGGATTTAATGCAGATATAAGTAAGATGTCTGAACCAGAGTTTACAACAATGATTATAAGGACACTAGCTGGGCTTGAAAAAAAGCATAAAGACTAGAGAATCCCTACTGCAGAGATAAAGGACTAAAATCTAGTCAGGCTGAGGTTAAAAATGCTATAACCAAGATGCAAACCCAAATGGATACCATACTAATGAGGATGGATGAAGCAAAAGAACGAATCAGTGATATAGAAGATGAAATTATGGAAAATAATGAAGCTGAAAAGAAGAGGGAAACAAAAGTAATGGACCACGAAGGCAGACTTAGGGAACTCAGCAACTCATTAAAACGTAATAATATTCATATCATAGAAGTTGCAGAAGATGGAGACAGAGAAAAAGGGGCAGGAAGTTTATTCCAACAAATTACAGCTGAAAACTTCCCTAATCTAGGGAAGGACACAGACATCAAAATCCAAGAAACACAGAGAACTCCCATTAAATTCAACAAAAGCTTACCCCAAAGATACAAATGTAGTAATCCGAAGAGGTACATGCACCCCGATGTTTATAGCAGCAATGTCCACAATAGCCAAACTATGGAAAGAGCCAAGATGTTCATCGACAGATGAATGGATAAAGAAGATGTGATACACACACACACACACACACACACACACACACACACACACACACACAATGGAATATTATGCAGCCATCAAAAGGAATGAAATCTTGCCATTTGCAACAACATGATGGAACTGGAAAGTATTATGCTGAGCAAGACCTGTATCATATGATCTCACTGATACGAGCAATTCTTAATCTCAGGAGACAAACTGAGGGTTGCTGGAGTGGTGGGGGGTGGGAGGGATGGGGTGGCTGGGTGATAGACATGGGGGAGGGTATGTGCTATGGTGAGTGCTGTGAATTGTGTAAGACTGTTGAATCACAGACCTGTACCTCTGAAACAAATAACACATTATATGTTAAAAAGAAGAAGAAGAAGAAGAAGAAGATAGTAGGAGGGGTAAAATGAAGCAGGGGAAATCGGAGGGGAGACGAACCATGAGAGACTATGGACTCTGAAAAACAAACAGGGCTCTAGAGGGGAGGGGGGTGGGAGGATGGGTTAGCCTGGTGATGGGTATTAAAGAGGGCACGTATTGAATGGAGCACTGGGTGTTATACACAATGAATCATGGAACACTACATCAAAAACTAATGATGTAATGTATGGTGATTAAGATAACATAATAAAATTTTTTTAAAAAGTCAACAAAAGCTTGGTGACAACCAAGGCATGTCATAGTCAAATTCACAAAATACACAGAAAAGGGAAGAATCCTGAAAGCAGCTTTAAGGAAAGGACTTTAAGGGGAAAAGGTCCTTAACCTACAAGGGAAGACAGATCAGGTTCACGGCAGATCTGTCCACAGAAACTTGTCAGGTCAGAAGAGACTGGTAGGATATATTCAAAGTGCTGAATGGGAAAAATATGCAGCCAAGAATTCTTTATCCAGCAAGGCTGTCATTCAGAATAGAAGGAAACATAAAGAGTTTCCCAGACAAACAAAAACTAAAGGAGTTCATAACCACTAAACCACCCTGCAAGAAATTTTGAGGGGGACTCTGAGTGGAGAAAAAAGACCAAAAGCAACAAAAACTAGAAAGGACCAGAGAACACCACCAGAAACCCCAACTCCACAGGTAACACAATGGCACTAAATTCATATCTTTCAATAGTTGCTCTGAATGTAAATGGACTAAATGTTCCAATCAAAAAACAGGGTATTAGAATGGATAAAAAACAAAACAAAACAAGATCCATCTATATGCTGTTTACAAAAGACCTGTTTTGAACCTAAAGAAACCTGCAGATTGAAAACGAACCATTTATCATGCTAATGGAGGTCAAAAGAAAGCCAGAGCGGCCATGCTTTTATCAGACAAACTAGATTTTATTTTTTTATTATTTTAAAGATTTATTTATTTATTTTATATAGAGAGAGCATGAGCAGGAGGGAAGGAAAGAATCTTAAACAGACTCCAC